CATTTAGGTATTTTTTACTCCATTAAGCCATTTAATGCATCTCTTCTCACATGTCCACCACAAAGTGAACATAATAACAGTATGCCATGATCTTTAAATCTTTTCATTGAGATTCTGGGTTTTGAGTAACCAGACTAGAATGAAAAATGCTTTGGGATGATTAGTACAATTTAGAAACACCTCTAGCAGACCAGCAGTGCTGAATCTTGCTATTGATTCAACAGTCCCATTCCTACTATAAATTTGTACAGGCTCTCAGATTTTATTTCTGTAGCACAGTTTTTAGCCTCTGTTAGCAATGAGATAGAACTGGGGTTTGTCTGTTGTCTGTCAGGATGGGAGTCAAACTACTTTGCACTCAAATGAGGAAACTGAGCTTTTCGTCATTGAGGGGAAAGAAGAGATGGGAAGCAGAAACATGCATTTCTTTTTCATATTGCAGTTTGGAGGTTTTATAATAGTTCTGTGTTTCAAATAGTATTTTTCACTTGTTAGGAAAAAAAAGGTCCTTAAGCTTCTTCATCAGACAGATCTTTTTTTGATCATGCAAGTTTTAAATATTCATGCAATTAGTCCAGTCTACTTCATTTACTGCACTGTGTTTCTGAAAGTACATGGATGATACAAAAGAGAGCCACATTTCCAAATGTCACTGATATAACATTCATTTTTTGTATTTCATCCATTGCTTCCTTCAGATACAACACAGCAGACATATGTAAGTGCCACCTTCTGGCTGTGGTGGGAACACAGTCCTTGCACCAGTAGAGAGGGAATGTTAGAAACATTCTCTATAAATCTGTACACTGCTTGGAGTATCTTAAATACTCGACAAAATTCATTGCAGTTCTCCACCACAGAGGTGTTATTAAGAAATTCTTTCATTCTTCTCTCAATAGAATCCCTTTGTTGCTGGTCAATTTGTGTCTTACACGTGGCCAAAAGAGAAGATCAGGCTCTTGAAAACCTCCTGTGCTGACGAGGTGAGCCTCTGGGTTCTTCAAAGCCATTAGACAGAGGTGAATAAACAGCGCAATTCCACTGTCATATGACGAAATGCAGGAAAGTTAAATTTGTGTGCACTAGAATGAGAGATACTATTAAAAATTAAAAATACAGTAAGACTGTCTCTATAGAAAATGTAACATTGAGAGTACATACCAAGACTGCATCAAAAAATTATCTGGGAATACGTCTCAATGGCTAATTTGAACTTCACCAAGCCTAGGGGTCTAGGAACAACCAAAATTCTCCACCATCTTTTTATTTTGCCTACAAAAATATCAACAGTGTTAATCACAGTTAACATAACTGAAAGCTGAATTAGTTTAATGAGTTGTTTGGGCTGAATTTTAGAAGATTTTTACTTTGAAAGCGTTATTCGCATTTCCGTAGTTAAGCTTGAAGCAATACTATCAGAGTCATTTCCACTCCACCTACCCTAACTTTTTAATCAGAACAGTTACAATCTGTGCACCTGTTTTCAGATTCATGGGACTGTAACTGTCTTTGAGGACTCAAAATGTGTAATTTGTGTAATTTCTGATTATTTTCTTTTATATATGCCTGAAAGAAAAACAAAGCTAACATTTTGGGAAAGTTTATACATATATTTGTAGAAGATTCTGGTATGGTCTTTTTCATTGATACTATGGAAAGTCCTGGTAGGACATCTTATTTTAGCAGTACTCCACTTGAACATCAGTGGAAAGAGCAGGCTTTGGCGTAAAGAGAAAAGTGGAATGAGAGTAAGTATTATCAAAGCTGTTCACTGGCTTCATTGCTTCTGCAGAGCTTCATCATAAATTCAGCTAGAAATGGTATCATTCAAAGATCTTTTACTGTCAGTCGCATCCATGCACCGGTAGCTGACAGTAGGAAAAACAGCCCTCCTCCACCTTTGCTTTCCCTCCCTCATGTACAGTTTCATCCACAGCACTTTAAAAACTGTTTTTAAAACTGAAAATCTCCAGGAGCAATGGAGCCCTACTTGGGTTTTTGTTTGTTTGTTTATTTTGGAGTTGGCTTTGGTGGTGGGGTTTTTTATGTTTTTTGCAGACTTGGCTGTTTTAGACAAAAATCACTGTGCTTACAAATAAGCCAATATCCATAATGCAGAGAATATTGACATTTTTTACAGTTCTACAATAGCCGTATGTCAAGGAAGTCAGATTGGCTGTCCAGATTGGCTTGTATAGTGTTTGAGTGTCTAAAAAAAAAAAACAAACCAGCAGCATAAACAGTACATATATATTCAAGCATTTGTCAGATTTTTAGAGATTCATTAATTCTGACAGTGTATTTCATAATTCATTCTGCATTCAAATTCTGTTTGAAAGCAGTGGAGACTGAGCTATGATGTAGCTTTTCAGGGAGACAGCTACAGCTCTTGATTCTGAACCATCTGTGGTTAGTATGAATTAGAACTGTAATGACTGTAAATTTCTTCAGGGACATCACTTCAGTGGATCATCAAACTACGGGAGTCTTTTGTTATAAAAGGAAAGGGCACAAATATGCCTTTTTTGTAATCACAGTTAGAACCAGAAGCAGATTTACTGCGAGTCAAGAAGCAAGCAGGGAGTAGCAGGAGATGAACTACATTAGTACAGACTGGAGTAAGGTACTCTTCTTGTTACATGAAAGGCACAACTATTTGCCTTTGCAGATCCTCTTCTGGATCTCCTTCCTGCTTAGGTTCCAAATTTTCCATAGATATTTTTCTCCAAGCTGGTAACAGTAACACAGAAAGGACAGAAAACAGCTGTGATTCTAATTTCCTCTAACTCAGTCCTTTAACTGCATACTACATATGATTCTTCAGACCTGTTAAACATACACAGCAAAACAGAGGAACAATTAACTCCTTCTCATTGAGCCTATCTTGTTATTTATCATACTTACTGACAGACATGCAAGTCATGTCATAGCTACATTTTCCCATACTTTAGAAAACTCCTTCCTATGTACCCTTCTCTGCTCTAAATAAGGCAAGCTTACATCTTCTGAGCTATCCTGTCTTGTACAATTAAACCAAACAGTCTGCAGTATGCTTGCCAGCTGACAACGTCAGCACAGCGAGTTGAGATGTAGGTGTTCTTGCAAAACTATTTACAGTTAAAATTTATAGTGTATTTTAGACTAAAAAGAATCATCAGGAATACTCTACTCTGCCCTCCTATACTAGACATACTAAAAGAATACCACAGTGGAAGAAACTATTTTCTACCAGTTCAAATTGCAAAATAGCAGAAAACAAGATGATAGTGGGAATCTACTACCTACAACAAAAGCTAACAATCCAATTGATAACAATAAAGGAATTTACTTACACAGCATTTCCTACTTTTTGTCAGTATTACTTCAACTATTGTCATTGCCAATTTAGAACTTCTTAGGATTCTGGGCTGTGGATTCAAATGTGTACAATGAAGTACTCAAACAATGGATGGAGGAAGGGCAAAGCCTAAGACTTACCATGGAACAGTCTATGGTTAAGTGTAAGCACATCTGTATACACACACACAAGCATCCAAACAGAAACTAGACAAGTATGCAGTGGCGTTAACATATTTATGTCCAAAAATTCAGAGTTGCCATTTCCACTGTTCGTGGACTTTTTCTGGCGAAAAGTTTTACCCAAAGAGATAGCTATAAATCAGTTCTACATCCATGCACACCACACGTGGACTGCTGAAGTCGTGACACAGGACAGAAATCAGGTAACATCATCATTAATTTGGGGGGTAATACTGACAAAAATGATATTTCAGTTTTAGCTTAGTATCATGGATTTCCTAACCACATGCTCTCTTCTGTGTGGATTATTTACAAAGTAGGAATATAGCAGTGCTGCTGTATGACAGGCCTGCTTTTTAGGAAGGAAAAAGACTGTACCACTATAAAAGCTTCTTATTCATGCCAAGGATAGCTAACTAGAGCTAGTTCCAGAGAAACTGGAAGCTTTTCTCAATTCACATAACAAGAAACATTATTGACAAAGCAAACTAAAGCAGAAATCCAGCTTAGACTATCTCATGATTGCCACGTGTACTTTCTCACTGTAGAACGACATCTAAAAGCAAGTTTATAAAATTAGACTCTTGGAAGATACAGAAGTTTCAATGGATAGTAAAAGGACTACTTCACACTGGTGAAAAACAAGGCTGGACTTCATAAACCAATCAGCTGACTGAAACATAATAACCTCAATGAAAATAAATGAGCCTGTCACTTCAGTAGGCAATGATACTGTTACTTTCTGTAGCTGAACTCTTACGGAGTTGCAGAGGCTTGTACACCTCAGTTCTCCTCACTGTTAGTCACCAGGGCATTACTTGAAGTATGTACTTTCATTGCACATTGCCTTCATTCAGCAGATGTGAAAATGAAGTCTTCAAGAGAGTTTGAAATTCACCAGCAGGTGTTTTTGGGAAGCATACAACTATTCACAGAGATGGAAGAGCAGATTACTATTACAGACTAAAATGATTAGAATAACTAAGACAGCAAATGTCTTTACCAGATCAACAGTTAGCTAAATTAAGATCATACCCCTCTTTTTTTTGTTTTCTATTTAGGAGCAGATCCAACGAGAGTTGGATGCCTGTAAATCAATTACTGCAGCACCTAATGGTTGGGTGCCTGGCCTCTGAAGTGGAATCCAAAACCCTGCTGGGCACTGGACAAGCCTGCTGCTTAGTAGGCACAAACTGTATCAGGAGAATAATCCATGGAGCTGCAGGATAGGCAAAAAGAAACCAAACTAACAACAACAAACCCACACGTCTGGGTTCCAAGCCTCCTTCCCCACAAAAACTTTGCTTTTTGAATCCAGAAAAGTGAAAAGAAAACGATCTGAAAAGCAGAGAGCGAAACCTGGGCTACTCAGGAGTGCCAGCCACAGAACTACAGTCATACTCTCGCTCCGCCGCTCCACTTCTGGAGCCAAACCCTGGGGATCAGATACACATGCTAATTAACAGAGCTCGTTAGGTTACCTTCTATCAGCCGAGCCATGGCAACCTGCCTCACTACTCCTCTCCCGCGCCGTAATTCACACCTGGCTTCCCAACGCAACGTGCGTGCGGCTGCCTTTCAGGCCAGAAGGGCACCTACACAGTCCGTGCACGTTCCCTGCCGGCGCTTCTGGTAAAAAACAAACGATCGAAAAGTTTAAAGTCCTCTCAGAGTTCAAGAGAAGAAGCTCAAAATTGGAGCGAAAGGGAAAGATGTTAAGCACCGAAGTCTTTCTATCAACCCTCGAGCTTTAACGGAGTTTTAGAGAGAGTTCAGGGGAGCGCTTTCAGGCGGCGCGCACCGAATAACGCTCAGAGGGGAGCGGCAGGGCGGGAACGGAGCCGCCCGCGCAGCTCAGCGCCCGCGCCGCCGCGGGCCGGGAGGGACGCGCCTGGAGAGCCCCGAGGGCCGCGGGCCACTCCGCCTCGCGGACAAAGGGAGCGCCGGGCGCGCCTCGCCTCCCGCAGCCCGCACGCCGCCCCCCGCTCCGCTTTCCCCCTTCCTCTCCTAGCCGGCTCCGGTGGAAGCCGTAGGCCTGCCTCGGCCCTTCTCCTCCCGCCCCTGTTTCCTCCGCCGGACTCGTTCGTGCCTTTTCCGTGGCCCCGCCCGGGCCCGGGTTTCCCCCCGTCCCGCGGGCGCGGGGCAGCGCCGGCAGGGTTAATCCTGAGGAATGCGGCGGGAGGAATGTGCATGCAGATGAGGTGGATGCTAATCTCATGCTAATGAGCGGCGGCCGTAGCCGCCTGGGGCTCAGCCGGGCTCCCCGCGCCCAGACGGCAGCTGGGCTCCTCCGGGAACCCTGACCTGGGCTGCCGCCCGCCCCCTCGCCCGCCCGCGGCAGCCCCGGCAGCCCCGGCACGGTGGGCCGAAAGCCGGCGGCGAAGGAGCGCTCGCCGGGTTGCCGCCAGCGTCGTCCCCCGGCGCCGGGCCGGGCTCGGCTGCGAGCCCCCTCCCCGTCTCCCCGGCTCGGGTGGGGGCTTTTCCCGCTTCCCTTCTTTCTTTCCGTCCCTATGGAGCAGTCGCCCTCGCCGGCCGACCATGCCTAGGAAAGCGGGGAATGGGCAGCTCCCCTTACCCGATGGCTGGGAGGAGGCGAGGGATTACGACGGCAAAGTCTTTTACATCGACCACAACACCAAGCAGACCAGCTGGATCGACCCCAGGGACAGGTGGGTGCGAGGCGGGGTGCTGCCGGCCTGCGGCCGCGGAGCTCGGCACGAAAGCTGGCCGGGGGCGCCGAGAGCGGCCGGGCCGCCCGACAGGTACGAAAGTTGGCCGCGGGGCCGGCCGCCATCCCGCCCCCGCGCGGCACCCCCGGCCTCCCGCCCGGCCGTCCCGGCTCGAGGAGCGCCGCGCTGCCGGGGAAGCGGCCGCAGGCCTCGCGTGCCGGCTAGGCCTCGGCACGGCTCAGCCCCCCGCTAGCCGCAGCCTCTTCCAGCTCTGAAGGCTGAAACGGGCAAAACTCGCCTCGAAAACGCTCTGGTGAGCGGCGTGGGCGGCTCGTGTGCTGATAGCGCGTGAGTCGTCGGGGCCGGTCTTCCAGCTGGGGAGGGGCGGCGGCGGTCGGGACACGCGGCGGGTCCGGCCGCGGTTCTGCCCCGCCAGCCGTGCGGAGAGGAGAGCCGCCCGGGTACCTGCCTCGAGTTCTGGCCGCAGCGCTCCTGGAAAGTAACTGGAAGAGAGAACTTCGTGTACGTGTTGTGTTGATATACACAGTACGGAAATAATGTTAAAAGCGGTCTATTCGAGTTATCAGAAACTTTAGAGAAGGCGTTACGAACGCTTGGAACGAGCTGTCCTGCATTATAAATGAGAGCCTGGGTTTGTGTTTCTCCGAGCGGTGAGCAGCCCGCTGCCTGCGGCTCGCGGAGGGAGCGGTGACAGGCAGCACGCGCTGCGCAGGCCCGCTCCGATCTCACACTTGTTGCGGCAGCAAATTCCAGCCGCGGTGAACTTCGTGCCTAACGTGCTTTCAAGTGCAAAGGAATTTAAATGCCTTGTAAATATTAGTGAGGCGGTAAAGTGTACGGGACGGTGTTGTTTATTACACCTGTGATAAATTGGCGTCTTTGACTCATTGATTTTTTTCTTTTTACTGTGGACAATAAAAAAGTTCTCACTTTCCCGTCTCAAGAAGTAGCGTATTTAAAGAATTACTCGGTGTTAAACTTTGAATTTCTGTTTGCAAAGCAGACTGTGAGGCACTGTAATCGAGGTGAAGCAAAAAGTGAAATTTGAGAACGTATTTGTTATAATAGCGCCAGGAATGCACTAATTTAGAATTATTTTCTACGGGTTCTCTGGCCCTGAAGAGTTCAAGGGTATGCATACTTGGTGGTAAAGTTTGAGTCTCTGCTGTCATTACTAGACTACGTGGCTGAGTAGCAGTGGTCTGCTTGCCATCCTATAGGTACAGGATAAATATTGTTTCATTAGTGCATTGATTACAGGTGAAGGAGAAATCAAGTCCTCAGATTCAATGGTCTGTCATCAGAACTAAGGAAATGGAGACCTTCTTGAGAGAGCACGGTGTTTGAAATAATTACTTACCCTTGTCAGTCATGGAAAACAAGAACAGGGATTTTGTGCTATGGAATTCCTAACTTAGTGTACATTGCTCAATCATGAAGGTTTGAATCACCTGCACAGGAGACTGACAAGCCCATTTAATCTGCAGTTTACATTACCTGTATTTACAGTACCTGTATTTACAATCCGTTTGTTCTGGTGACCTGGTTTGGAAAAAGAATTGTTTGAAAGTCTTGTGATGGCTTTGCTTGAGAGTCCTTTGTATTTCCCAGGTATTTAGCAAATGCGCATTCTGAAACCATAGAACATAAGGAGGGCTTGCTGTCAGTAAAACTGGGATGTGATCTTCCAAGTTTGTCAATACAGTAAAATCTGGCTTTGCGCTGGTACTGAAACTTCCCTTAAATTGTCAAAGTGAAGGTAATGCATTCTGCAGTAAGACTGAAAACGGTTTCATACTTCAGGGCTTTGATTCTTAGTTCTTTCTGTGGTGGAGATTAAAAACTTAAAAAATTAAAGTACTTGTGGACCTAAAATCCTTCATTGGTAAAGCAAGTGTAGAAGAGGTATGGTTTTATTGATATTTTTTTCTTCTGCTTTTATGGTACAGCATTTCCTGGATATTTGTACATAGAAAAGTTGTGCTTGATGATACTTTTAAGTCCACTTTGATTTAGAAAGTACTAGCGGCCAATATTTGCATTGTAAAACTTCTGCCACGTGTCTGTGGGTCAGCAGGTGTATTTGAGAACAACTGGGAGTCTCATTGTTACAGGTATGAAATAGTCATGTCTAGAAATAAACTGAAAGAGAAAATACCGTATTCCAAAGCTTATTGGAAAAAGTTGTGGTTTTTTTTATTATTTACCCATACTTATTTCATCTGCTTTCTAGACATTCTGACTGTACATGTTACTGTGTGTACGGTTTAGTCTGTTACTGTAATGATACCTTTGTGTACAACATGAAGAAAATCTCACATCAGCCTCAACCTTCAGGCTCAGTTTTCATTTTTGCCCTCTTCGTTTCTCTGAGTAACCCCACTGATGTTAGAGAAGCTCACACTTGTGAGGGCAAAAGTGATTCAACGTGTGTGTTTCTAGGAGTGCTGCAGTTTTTAAATGTTTTCCTCTGTTCAATAGTGATTGCTCTCTGCAAACAGGCTACCATACTGAAGACTGATGGTTGAAATGGGAGGGTACTTGAGGTGTAAGTTTGAGGAAGAGGAGACATAACAGTGAGAACGTGGGAGTTGCAGCAACTTTTTCACTAAGTATATGGATGTTATTGCTTCTCAGGTCTTGGTTTCTGCATAGTAAATAATCTGTGCTCCACTACTCACCGTCGCTGACATAAAATACATAGCTATATTGATATCTTTTCTAAAATGAATTCCGCATCACAAATTCTGCAGATGCAACTGGTCTTTGTTTAAATGCTTGTTTGCACTTACGTTGGAGTGTCAAGGAATGGGCTGCTATGGAAAAAAAAAGCCAACATCTTCTTTCTGTCTCCACTTCTCTTTCCACTGGGAAGGAACGGCTTCCAATACATGGATGTATTTAAAATCATTCACATTATGCTTGTCTGAGAATGTTTCTGAGGGATCCACTAACTCCATAGCCAAGGCAATGTATGAGAAACATGGATGAGCAGAAACCAGAGCTTTGCTGCTTGTAGACTGAAAGAGCTTTCTTAGTGCTGACGTGGACAGGTTATGAAGTTTCCATTGCTGCTTTCATCTTCTGGGGAGTTGAAAACTCTACCATTTCTGTCATGGGTTGCAGTTACTGGGGTGGGAGTTGTCCGTCCAAATTAGAGCTTCAGTAGTTGCCTGCAGTTGAATGTTGGGTTCCTTTCCCTGAGAGAAGAAGGACACTTTGTTACTTCGTGTCTCAGTGGAGCTTGCTTCCTCCTGTCTGCTGAGCATCAGAAGCTGTGAGAAGGGACGGTGCTGAAATCACTTGAGCAAGGATGGATCTTTATTCTGTTTTGAGTGCAAATCTTAACACTGCTGATGTAAGGTACGACTGGGGTGTCCCACTTGTGCAGCTGTGTGGTGGGATCAGACAGTGTCTTTTTTCCCTCATTTGTAATTTCCAGTGTCTTTTCCTGCCTTGTTTCAGCCTGTGGTACCATCTGCCTAACTCCACGTAGCTTGTTCATGTCTGCTTGTCTGTCCAGGAATGTGCATATCCCATGTGAAACCTGGTATCTCATTCTAGTTTCAATGACAGGTTGGGAACTGCTTTTATTTAATTGATGTCTATTTATTCAAAATAAAACCCGTGATGCAAGTTCTGAACTCGCAATGAGAGACTAGCTGTGTCTGAACTTCTGACACCCCTGTTTGTTTATCCAGTGTAAAGCACGATTCCAATACTGCTGTGCTGGCGTAGCTGCGATAGCATCAGACAGCGTGGAACTACGTAGTGGTTGGTATGTGGGCTTTTTAACCAGTCTGCCAATTGCCTGGGGCTACGTGTTGTTGATTTTAGCGTTAGTGAAAATGGTGCGGTAACTCCTTTAACACTTCTTTATTTCTCTGGAAGTGATAGGGCTGCTCCATATCTTTCATTTCAGAGCATGTAAAGTTAACAAGTCAGGAAATGCTGCAGATATTTGCTTATGTGTGCAAAGTATGTACCGCTGCCAGAGCCAAGGACTGTGACCTGTTACGTAAAATGGGGCAAGTGGTCTAGACTGTGGTTTACCCAGACCCACGTCTGTAGTGCTTGCCTACTACAGCTATTTCGATTACAACCTATCTTGACTTAGGGGATAATATTACGGTAGTTCTCATGCACAATGTAAGACATAGCTAATGAGAAATTGTACACAAGGAGGAAAATACGCTCTCAAATGGAGCTGAGCTGATTACTAGAGATGTTTTCCTCTTACAGTGTGGTTAAACAAAGGAGCCCTTCAGAGCTGCCTTATTTTTTTCAGAGAAAGGAAAATGACTTTCCTTCACAGCCATTACTTCAAAGTAAGTTTTCATTGTAAGAACAGAGGTCTGTATGGTGACCGAACAGGACAAATTACCTACAACTTCAAGTATTTACTCAGGTTATGTTAGTTCTCGTCTTATTCCAGTTGAATAACTTGTGTTCAAGCCTTTGGTGAAAATTCATTGCTGAGGCATGTTATTAAGGTTATAATTACGAGTAAGAAAAGAGGATTCCCTATTTTCATTTACTAAAATTTATAACGAATGGTGACAAACTGAATTTCATTAGGTGGGTTTCATTGCTGTTGACACTTTTAAATCTGGAAATTGTTACAGATATTTGTGATTTCATAATTTTTATATGATACACATGACTAAAAATCAGAAGAATATTCATGCAAGTAATGGAAGATCAGCACATGGCAGCACTGCCATGGTGACACATCTTCAGACAAGTAAATGGATACAATGCTGAGATTCTAGAACTGCTAAGCTGGGTTGTGTAAGTCTTTATCAGAGCAGCCTGCATAAGAAGTGCAAAAATTTGCAGAGGGGTAATGCATTCCTCTGTCTGGACTGTTGTGATACTGTTCACTTGCCCCTGCCTTGCCAACCAGTAGTAAGCTTAGGGGATAAACAGTAAATTTGGAGATGATTAGGCTGAAATGAAACCCCTGCTTTTACAGAGTT